TTAGCTTGGCATATTGCAGGGCCCTGCCAGATGGGGGCCAGTCCTCTGCACTGGGAGGGGGAAGGAAGAGTCAGGACCCTCTACCAGGGGTGGGATGTGGCAGGCCATCCCAGCCAATGCTACCGAGAGTCCCCTGGGCCGATCCCATGCTGGACAAACACTCTGGTTAGGGGTTAGGATTTGGTTCCCCTGTAGGTTGACTGTACGAAAAGATCTGCTGCTGCTGCTGATGTTGATTTGAGTTTATGGGAGGCTGTCTCTGTGACTAGATAGCCCCTGGTGCAGACAGGAGGGAGTCTCTAGGACCTGGAAAAGATCTGCTGCTGCTGCTGATGTTGATTTGAGTTTGTGGGAGGCTGTCTCTGTGACTAGATAGCCCCTGGTGCAGACAGGAGGGAGTCTCTAGGACCTCAGAGAAGAGGGCCAGCCCCAGCCGGACTTCCCTTTGATGACACCTCTGCCACTGCCAACTTCTCTCTCACTGATGATTTCTACACGGGACAGACAGGAGGGTAAAACACATTGCCGGGGAAACTTAGCAAGTGCAGGGGATCTAGGACCCAGGCTGGGGTGGGTCCAACTAGGCGACTCTGGAATGTGAATAGAAAGAGAGAAGCAAATAAATCAGATGGGCAAGAGCAAGGCATGGCGGGCCCAAGCTTTCAAAGGGGTTCAGACGTCAGCCCTGGCACATAAGGTGGAGGTCAGATGGCAACAGGAGTACAGCCCGGGCGCCTGCCATTCAAAACAGCACAAAAGTTCCTGGATAATCTGCTTGCCAGTGGTTAGAATCACCAGAGATGCTTTAAAACATACTAATGGGGGAGGTGGGAGACCTAGAGACATTGATTTTAATTGGTCTGGGTTGAGGCCTGACACTGGTATCTTTTTAAAACTCCCCAAGTGGTTCTAATGTAATTTGCTTCCAAGAGTTGAAAACCATTGGCATAGGGAATGGTTCTTATATTTTTGGAGGAGAGGGAGGCAGAAAAGGCATTTAGGAAGCTTTGGCTGGTTGTACATGTCTGCCCCCTCTACCAACATCTTAGTGAAGCGCCTCGTGCTGTAGTTCAAAAAACCTGATTCTGATATTTTTTCTCAGCCAGGAGAACCGTTGGTGCGTGGAGCTTAGCAGTCTGTCTGAACATTCTTCATTATGCAATATTAGATAGGTACAAAAGAGTCAATGTAACTTCTATGTAAGGTAAGCAGGTGGTCCTGGTACCTCCGGGAAACACTGGTTCTGGGCCTTGGGGAGGGCAGGGCCCGCAGGTTGGAGGGTGTTGTGGAGGCTGTGCCTGGAGCAGGGGGAGGGTCAAATGACAGGCTGTGAGCAGGGGAGCCAGGCAGAGCCTGCCACAGCCTCTGAAAGGGGCAGAGGCGGGCGAGGCGTTTGCTAAAGGAGTGCTAGAGAGAAATCCCTTTAGACCAAGGACAATGGAGACCCAGATGCTCCCAGAAAAGCTAGGCTTTCAACTGTGTTGTTTTCCAGCCCTGGCTGCTGCGGCCAAATCGACAAGCAGGCAAGAACTGAGGGGGTGCAGGGTTCAGGACCCCGTGATCTGTCTGGCAGGAACAAACGGTGCAACTTGATCGCTGCCTCTCTCTTAGTTCATCACTCAGGGAGCTTTTTTCCTTGGGATGATTCCTCTATTATATACCCAGATACTTAAAGTGAATCCACCTTTCTTAGAGTGTGCTAAATAGGTCAGCGTGGTCTATCAAGGTGCACAGCCTCTGCACGAGTGCCAGCCACAGGCGGTGTAAATAATTAAATCCACATGTCCCCAGGATCAGCGTTTCAGCAAGAGAGCATTTTCTCTCCCAGGAGTTTCTCAGGAACTAGAGGAAATAGGAAGCCAAAGTATTTGGCTGTGGGAGCAGCAATGTGGAGGGGAAATCCAAGCGTGGAGGGGAGGAGCGGGGCAGGACTCTGAGCTGGGTCTTCTCAAGGGGCCCAGGTAGCTGGGTCAGGGGCTGCATTACTGAAACAGAGACTCAGTGTGAGGGTGGGGGCCAAGGATGGGGTGTGATCTTGCTTAGGACATGGACATAACAAATGTCAGTTGAGGGGTCACCAGCAGCCAGAGTGGTTGAGGGTCTATGGTCCCTTAAATTCCCCACAACTAGGGCCTTATGTGGATTAAGGGTGTCTGAGGCAGCCTAAACCTAGAAGAACTGGGAGATCTGGGGCCTATAGATGTTTCCTGGAGGCAGCAGCCACCATGGATGAGAAGTCTGGAAAAGATCAAGAGTTAACCACCACCTTGCACAAATTTACATGTGCAGAGCTCTTCGTTGGCTATAAAGAGCTGAAGGCTCTCAGGGGAAAACCTGCCACTCCTGGCTAACAAGGCCCCAGCAATTGACCATGTGGAAAAGACAAGAGAAGGAAATCAGCCAGCCTGCTCTCTATGAGGCTGGTAGACAGCATAGTGACAGCATGGCATCCAGTCCTGTACTAAAGCTGTACAGGAAAAGTAATCAGCAAGCAACAATTTTTGGTACAAGTCCTGAGCATACTAGCAGAATGGACCCCAGCATGGACTGGTGTGGTTATCAGAGTTATGTTGTTGTTTAATACTGTGGCCTTTCTTAACTATTGCTGGGAGTATAAATTGTTACAACTAGTTTGGAAAACTATTTGGCATTATCTACTAAAGTTGAACATACGTGTTCCCTATGACCCTGTAATTCCACTCCTAGGAACTGCCCAGCAAAATGTGTACATACATGTATGTACAAGAATGTTCACAGCAAGTGTTTGTAATAGCCCCAGACTGCAATGACCCAAATGCCCACTTATAGTAACGTACGAGCAGGCCACTGGTGCGGTATATCACAGTTGAATAACATAAAGCAAAGAAAATGAATGAACTACAATAACATGCAGCAACATGGATGAATTTTTGAGCAAAAGAGGCCAATGCAAAGGTACATACTGCTGTTGATTTAATTAACATAAAGTAATAAACCATCAAAGCCAACCAATGATGAACACACTAAAAACCATTGACTTGTACACTTTCAATAGGTGAATTGTATAGTATATGAATTATATCTCAAAACTGTAATTTTTTTAAACATCTACAGTATTATAAGTCAGGATATTGGTTATCCTTGGTGGGGGCCAATGACTGGTACTGGTAATGTTTGGTTTCTTGAGAGGTGGCTACGAGTGCGCTCAGTTGTGACAATTCTGTACACTCACAATTTGTGTACCTTTCTGTATGCTACACTTCAATAAAAATGACAACAACAAAAACCACAAACAAAACAGGCCCAGCCTGGCTCATTGTGTGGGGACAGTGACCTGGATATGCTCACTCACTTCAGAAAGGTTTCAACTGCCACCAGAGTACCCTGCAAGAGGCCCCCAAGCTTATGAGGATGCAGTTCCCCATTTCATTAGTGAAGCATCACATGCAGGGTCCAGGGGTATTCTCAGAGGAGAAAGCAGGATGGTCTGCCTACCACCTGTCTTAGCTGGGTGCAGCTAGTGTGGGCAGGTGTGGTCCCAGAAGCCAGGGTATATGGCCTGGAAGCATCCTGGAAGCAAGCTTCAGCACAGGCGAGGCCATGGCTATTGTGACTCTTTACAGCCCAGCCTTCCAATAGTCTAGTCTGTAGCTCATGGATTGGGAAGGGGGCATATCCTCATGGAGACCTTAAGGGCCATCTCTCTGAGGTGGGCTGGTCCACAGCGCTATGTCCCCAAGGCCAGCCTCTCCCCGGCAGCCCAGCCAGGCTCCTTAGGGGTGGGCTTGAGAAGCCTTATTAGTTGTGCTTAGCAGCAAGAACACTTGAGCCCCTAGAAAGATGAATCCCAGTGAGAGAGCTCTGAGCATGGGGAAGGGCTCCCTGAGAACCCCAGGAAGAACAGAGGTGGGATTCTAGGGTGCAGGGCCCTTGGGGATTTGAGGCTGTGGGCCAAAGTAGGACATAGAACTGCAGCCACTGGGCCAGGAGCTGGTGAATGCCTTTTGCCAAGGGAGCATTAGAGGCCAAGTTCTTTGTAGCTCAGACAGTAGAAGGGGCTGCTGCCAGGGTTGGAGACTTTTGCCCTTTGAGATTCTGATTCAATTCTGTACGTTAAAACATCTTCATAGGTGAACCTAATGCACACAGATAAGCATCATTCACTCAATCAATCAGCAAATATTCATGGGGTAGCTATTCTAGTTCCAGGCCAGCGCCATGCTCTGGGAAAGCAGAGGAATATGGCCAGGACTGGCCCTCAAGGAGCCCACAGGCTGATGTCCAGGGAGAGGCTGGAGTGTGACAGATGATTACAATGAAGAGGGATGACAGCAATGACAGAGGCTTCTAGAGCACAGAGGAAGGGTAGAAGAACTCCTTTGTGGCTCTTTTTGGAAAATATAGTTTCCTCCGGATTCGTTTGTTTCTCAGGTCTGAATTTTTGAACTTTGCATTCAGGAATGTACAGTAGCTCAGGTCTAGCTCGGTAACTGTTAAATATGGCCCATGATAAGTCACTCTGAAAAGAGAACCCCCACAAGTAGTTATCAAGCTCTTTTTAAAAATAGTAAACAAGCTAAGAGAGAGAACAGAAGACAGCTAATCTTCTAGAAGAGGCATATTTGTTTTTTACAGTCTTTGGGGATTTAATTCAGTTTATCAGACATGACAGAGCCTATCACATCACGCTCTCCCCATACACAATAATAAACAGCAGCTAATTCTCTTCTTCTAGGTCTATATTGCATGACATAAAACATAAAAATAAAATCAGTTCCCAGCCAGGGTATATAGGTAAGTAATGGGACCAGCAATGGGCCTAAATGCCTCCTTTTCCATAGTCATGGACATCTGTGACACTTAGCTGGAAATTCCTACTCTAGTTGCCATAGTGGCCCCTTGAGACACCCTTCTTCTGTTAACAACACAGTGGGTGCACCTTGTGGGTCTAGTCTGGAGCAGCCCCAAAAGCAGAAAAAAAAGCCAAAGAGGAAGCCACCTTCGGCAAGCAGAAACATTACCTTGGTCCCATGGTAGAAGTCGTCCACGCACGTGGCGTTCATGAAGGTCTGGTGGAAGTGGGTGCTGGTGTCGATGCCTCCGGGGATCACCAGCTTTCCAGTGGCATCAATCACCTTGGCCCCACCGGGGATCATGAGCTCACGGCCCACCTGCTGGATGATGCCATTCTCAATATAGACATCAGCCTCATGGGTGCAGTCATCGTTCACCACCTTGCCTCCCTTGATAAGAATCCGCACGCTGGCTGAATTGGCAAGCATGTTCCTACAGAAGGTGAGAGGGGGCACTGGTCAAGGTCAAAGTCCCCTCTCACAGTCACCAAGGCCCCACCCCTTCCTATCAGAGCCCGAACTCCATGGTCAGGGTAGGTGAGCAGGGATGGGAAGAAAGTTTCTCCACAGCCTGAAGAAGCTGCTCCTATAGCCAGCAGGGGCCGCAAGCTCCGTGCTGACCTCACAGCGGGATCTACTGGGCATTGTGACACAGTGACAGTAAGGAGGAAGCTGGGGCCCACAGAAACATCATTTTTTACCTTCCCAAAATGCTGTGTGAGTTCTAATCCATTTTCTTATTTATTCTTTCATTTTATTCCCAAAACAATGCAAGGAGTAGCATTTTACAGATAAGAAAGCTGAAATTCTTAAGGAATTTAAGACTTTCAAGTAGCTGAGTCGGGCCGGCCCGGTGGCGCACTGGATAGTGCGCCACTTGGGAAGCGTGGCGGCGCTCCCGTCCGAGGGTTCGGATCCCACATACAGACCGGCTCCCGCTCACTGGCTGAGCGAGGCGCGGGAGCAACACTGCCTGCCACCAGGCAAGTTCCAGGAAGGCTATGTCCCAGGATGAAACGGCCTCAGAATCTGTTGAAGGAATATCTCTTGTATGGCGATACATCAGATATCTGGAGAGCTTAGCCTCCTCTCCTGGACACAGTTGGTTTAAGCAGGTGGCAGTTTTTTTGCCAAGTTGCCCAGGCTTGAGTGCATGGAATCTCAGCACCAAGAAAGCTTACAGTGCCTACAGAGCCTCAACCATCGAGTTCTCCTGCTGTTAGGAAAGGCTGGGACTGCTGCTGGGGGTGGGGGAAAGGGGGAGTGCTGGGAAACAAGACAGGTGGCTGTGACAGTTGTGCTCCATGAACATCTGTTCCCTGCAAGGTATGGTTCTGACCTCTGGGGAAAAGGGGCTCCACTCCCCTAGTGTGGAAGGCTCCAGCAGAGAGGCAGTGGGGAGGACTTGGGCTGGAGAGACTGGCTTCCCTAAGGAACTTCCTTAAGGTTACACAGCTAGTTTGTAACAAAGTAGAGATTGAAAGCCAGACAGTATGTCTTTAGAGTTATTATGGACTGAATGTTTGTGTCCTTCAACATTCATATGCTGAAGTCCTATCCCCCAGTGTGCCTGTATTTAGAGATGGGGCTTCTAAGGGTTTTTAAGGCTAAATGAGGTCATAAGGGTAGGGCCCTGATCTGATAGGATTAGAGTCCCCGTAAGAGGAGACACCACAGAGCTCTCTCTCTCTGTACATGAACAGAAGAAAGGCCATGTCAGGACACAGTGAGAAGGCAGCGTCTACCAGCCAGGAGGGCCCTCACCGAACCCGACCATGCTGGCACTGGCACCCTGCTCTTAGACTTGCAGCTTCCAGAACTGTGAGAAAATAAATTTCTGTTGTTTAAGCCTCTCAGTCTGTGGTATTTTGTTATGGCAGATCAGGCAGACCATTACAAACGCCTACACTCAACCTTGAGCCATACTACTAATATGGAAGCGGGGGTGTCCCAGACCCCAGATTTAAAGCTGCCCCATAGAGTCACTTCAGTGTAAATAACGGCCCAGCACTGAGGCCTGATTCAGCCCAATGCTGTGAGCACCATCCCGACCTTCTGGCAGACTTCTTCTGGCAGACTTCTGTCTTCAGGCTGCCCTGTGTGGCTGTTGTCCTCAGAAGGGGCTACAGGGCTTCAGCCTTTCACCGTTACCAAGGCCTTGGATCACTCTAGGCCTGCACTGGTTTATTTGGATAATGTAGTGCAGTTGCTTAACACACTCCCCACCCATGGTGCTTTGAGAGAATATCTTTTAAAATGAACATTTATGTGCACTAACATATTCTCTAACTTCACTCCTTTCCACTGGAGGCAACTCTGAAAAAGCCACAGGTCCTGCTCTCAAGAAACTCAGTCTAGAGGGCGAGAGAGACACAAATAACTGCTTTCCTAAGTGACTAAAAGGTAAAGGGGACACTTGCCTAAAGACCTAAAAACCAACTGGACAGGTATTGGTTTAAACTGGATGTCCTTCACTGCGCACCAGAGACCAGAGCGGGAATGGGTGAGACCAGTCATTTGGTGTTGGTGGGATCACCTTGTTACATCTCGAAACGTTTCTACATTTCCAAGTTGTATACCTCACCAACGTGCTTAATCCCTTCTAATGCCCACTTGCTGTTGACTGTTGACATTCATTATGTTCTTCACCTCCCCCAGTAACCTCATTAGCACCTCATTCCTACAGCTTTCCCTGCAAGTCTTCGCTAAATTGAACAAAGGAAAGATGTTACTGGCGTCTCTCTGCAGCGCTCCTGCTGTCTGTGGGTACGTGGGTGCATGAACATAATGGAGTCAGGGGAATGGGGGGTGGGGAGGGGATGGGTACTCTGGATCTCTCAGGAGAGTCCCCCAAAAGGGAAAGCATTTGAGGGCAATTGTTGCAAAACAGGCTCTTAAGCACCATAAATGCCACTGGCTGTGACTCTCTTTCCTATGCTCTGGTTGAGGCAGCCTACCAAGAGAGCACTCTTATTAGAGGTTGTGGTCAGAAAGAAATATAAACTCTATAGAAGGTCAGTATTAGTTTTACCAGTTTATGAGGCTTCAAGTCACCCTGTTTATTCCAAAACCCAATAACTGTGTAGACAGGGCCAATATCTGGCCCACCGGCTTACTACATGCTATTGACTGAATGTCGGTGTCCCCATTCATATGTTCAAGCCCTAATCCCTGATGTGATGGCACTTGGAGGTGGGGCCTTTGAGAGGTAATTAGGACTAAAGCCCTTATATAAAGAGACAGTAGAGAGATAATTCTCTCTCTATCATGTGAGGATACAATAAGAAGGCACTGTCTGTAAACCAGCAAGAGGGCCCTCCTCGCCAGGAACCAAATCAGTCAGCACCTCAGCCTTGGACTTTCTAGCCTTCAGAACTGTGAGAAATAGATTTCTGTTGATTATGCCACCCAATCTATGTTTTTTTTTTTTTTTTTTAAATAACAGCCTGAACTGACTAACACATTACATTAGACAGAAATGAGCATTATAATCAAATCATCATTAAGAAAAAATTGGGCCTTAAAATAAATGTCACCTCCTTTAAAGACTTCTGGCTATATCCCACATGCCCATATGTTTAACCAAAAACTATGATCATCCATCTATTTTGTCTGTGCAAATGGAAGAATTAAAAACACATGTTGGTCTTCACTGGCAGAAATGGAAAAAAATGCCGGATAGTTAAATGTTATTTGGAAAGAGTACATTGGAAGTATGGAATTCTACAGTTGCATAGATTCATCAGGTTTATCCCAGCTTTCCCTCCAGTCCCTGGACTTTACCATCAGTGACCTTGAAGAAAACCAGACCAGGACTGATGGAGTGGTGTTGCATTGCAAATAAAGGAATCTTAAGAATTTTACAGTTTATTCAGGAAAATAATGATACCTTTTACAGTAAGATGGTGAATATCTTTGATATGCCAAGATTTATCCAACTGTACACAACACGTATCCCCCAATTTCCTGATTCTGTGGCATGGATTCCTTATGTTCCCGAACTAGTTATGGGTTTGAGTTAAGGTAATGTGCAAGCTGGGAACAGGGACTTCTGGATGGGGAGTGGGGGGACAACATTTTAACCAGGGGGTGCAGTCTTTCATGAGAAAGCCCTTCATTTTAAAATAGTAACAATTATTACTATCCAACAACTGTCTTGCTGGAAAACGAAATCCCTCACCCCCCCCTTTTTTTTTGCCGCTGTTGAGCAGTTCCAAGGCAGAATTGCACAGACAGCATCTTGCTTAGTGGACAATCAAGGTTATGGCAGCTGCTGTTGCTTGCTCATGAAATGCACACACACTATACTCCTAGAAGGCACACAGTGTTAGTTCTGCCAAGGAAATGCCAATCCCAACATTGTGTTTTGGAATTGTCTGCTTCTGTCATCACCTTCCCCGGATGCGCTGTGCCTGCAGGGAAGTGTGAGACTAGGAGAGCTGTACAGTCTGTCCCACACAGCTGCCCCTGCCAGCAGCTCAGCTGGAGGATGCCAGGGGCCTTTGGGCTTGGCACAGACACATGAGGCCAGAACTGTGCAAAGGAAACCCTTCTTGCATAAAGACCTTGAGATGAACTTGATAGGTATTGATCTAAGACATGGACTTCCTCTTTTTAACAGGCACTGGTTTAAAACTCACATGTCCTCTTTTGATAGAATCCGTAGAAAAATGTGTGATTTTACAGATGACCTGTCACTGTAATATCAAAGAACACACAAGAGGAGAGCGACACAACTGCCCTGTGACATGAGGATCTGGGACATTTAAACCAACTCTAACAGCAACCTGGGTGGCAACGCAGGGGCAGGCGAAGCCAGCTCAGGCGGTGGACACAGGCTGGCTGGCATGGCTTTTTCCTTGCTCCAAGCGGATAACGTTTGCTAAAGGATCAAAAGGCAATACATGCCGGTTATTTGGAAAGAAAAATGAAACCTGCAGCTATTTCTCTTCTGATCAGCACAAAGGAAAAAGAAAACAGTAGGATGGCATTTACCAGCCTTCTCATGGGACAGCCATCCCTCAAATGGGGTGGGGGGGAGTGCTGGCACTTACATCACCCTGGGGCCACTCAGGAAAGGGATTCTCTTTGAATTGAAACATGACAACAAACCAGAGGTTCAGCAGAACACAAAAGCCAAAAGGGAAGTTTGAGGTGAGGGGAAAATGCTGAGGGTTTAAGGTAATAAACTTAATTTTTTAAAAAAAGTCAGTTGCTTTCTAAATAGTAAATACTAAACAATATTGAACTAATATTAAAACACAGTATAATTTTATAATTAATTCTTAATTGTTTTAATCAACTATTAAGTAGATTTTAAATAATATTTATAATATACATGTAAGGTATACAGAATAATGACACTAAGTCTTGTAAGCTGTCATTACCATTCAAGTCCCTGCACCTCATTCATCTGACCCCACATCTCC